TCTAATATATATATATATATATATATATATATATATATATATAAAATTATCTTTTACATGTTATATCCACAATAAAATCCACAGACCCCAGCTGAAAACTGTTACTCTTCTATCTACAGATTGTGCAGTTTGGCATGAATGAAAAGGTAGGGCAGGTGTCTTTTGACCTGCCACGGCAAGGAGAGATGGTTTTGGAGAAGCCCTATAGCGAGGCCACAGCATGCCTCATCGACACAGAGGTCAGAAACCTCATCAACGCGGCCTATCAGCGCACACAGCAGCTGCTGACTGAGAAGAAGGCTGAGGTGGAGAAGGTACAGCAGGCCACTATCAGGATCAATGCGTTTTACATTGATTCGTTTTCATTGTGCTGTCACATGAATTGTGTGCACAGAAAACAATTGTGAAACTTAACAGTAATTCTCTCTTTTTACCACTAGGTGGCACTACGTCTACTGGAGAAAGAGGTGCTGGATAAGAATGACATGGTGGAACTGCTGGGCCGGAGGCCGTTTGCTGAAAAGTCAACTTATGAAGAGTTTGTGGAGGGAACGGGAAGCATGGATGAGGACACATCGCTGCCGGAGGGCCTGAAGGACTGGAACAAGGAGCGCGGCAGCGAGAAGGAGGAGAGTACGGAGGAGCAGGTGGCCCGACAGATCACTGGTGGTATGCCCTTCTGAGGACACCCGTTCACCGTGACCCTGGAGGGTCAGAGCACTTATTTAAGAGCTGGGAAACACTTGCCTGACGGACACTGAGGCAAGTACCCTCTTCTTCACGAGAGCCATGATTGAAGGGCTCTTGATAGTAAGTGTCGGACTTAAACCTTGAAATATAAACTTTCTTGTGCTGAAGATTGTATTTCTGCAAAATTTAAAGGATCAGGAGATCTTCTGTTGAAGGTGAAGTGTATTTTACGTGACACATCAGTGCTTTGCCAGAAAATCTGTTTAACTTAAGGCAAAAGCACTGTAGTTTGTCAAGAAAAATTCTCTTTAGTCATTACAATTTTACCTATCAATGACCAAGAAGACACACAATATATATATATATATCTTTATGTCTAACAAGAAGCTTTGCCTCTGATATACACAGGTTGCGTTTTCTCTTTCTGTACATTAAGATTCCAGTTCAAAACTGACACAATTTTGTGACCTTTCTGAAAGGTCTTTTTGCAGTTCTGCTTGCTTACTGGCTGTCTGAAACACTGAAATATACATGAATGTTGTGAACAGTACACAAAGTCACTCGTGTTAACTAACATACTCTTCTCTCACAGATTTGCACTGGCATGAGCGTCAGCCTTTGGTTTCCATGTTATTTTAGCAAGTTTATGATCACGTCCTTTGATTGAAAAACAGAGCAGTCATTTTTGATGTGTTTTCTTCTGTTCCTCTGGTTCATTTATGGCCCAGGCAGCTGCTCTTTGTGGTGCAGACTGATTAAACTATAGCTCAATTCGAAATAGTGGCATACAACAAAATTCACATTTGTAATGAAATAGGATGCGAACATACACAAAAGTAGCTCATTATGTTAATGATCAGTTTATGAATGTGTGTGATTTTTGACAGCAGTATTTATTCTACAGTGCAAATCCAAATCACAAAAAGAGCTCTGAGGTTAAAAATAGAACACAATCTAATACGCATTGTCCTTTTGTGACTTCAGCTTGATATCACATCTACATGTATATGTTGTTCTGTGAAAACCTAAATAAATCCACATAAATTTCAAATTATTTCTCTTTAGTTCTTTATACTTCTGAGTGTGTGGCATGAATTGGTTTTTGTTTAGGACATGGATTTCAGATTGCTAGGAGATACACTGATCCTTGACTCAAGAATGCAACAAAAATGGTTGCAAATGCAACAAGAAATATAAACTAAATAATTTAAAATCTAGTGGCACTGACGAACAGGAAAGCTTTGAGAATGACACTTATGAACCGGTTCTTTTTGTCGAGTCAGTCAAAAAGATTCCCGGAACAGTCCTTAATCTCGTTTGTTAGTTAGCGTTTAAATCAGACTCAGTGAGTGACTAATTCAGAGTCATTTGGGAGTTCACAATTAACTAGTTATGTTGATTCGAAATGAAGTGGAAACTTGCTGTGATGTGTTCTAAATCTTTGAGATTGAAATCTGACTATTTTACTAACTGGTTGGTAGGGGTGGTGATATGGCAAAAATATATCAAGATTTTGATCAGGAAATTCACAATTTTATCATGATTCTTTGTCATGTTGGTTTTACTATTTTTGTCTGAGCAGTACAGCCCAACTAATTTCCCCATTTTAAAAACAATATAAGATAACAAAATATAAAACAAAAAAGAATGGCATAAATTTCGGCTAAAGTGGGTGAAAATAATTTTTTAATATTTGTTATTAAAAATAAGAACAAAGATATACATTACAAATACACATAATATACAAATAAAACAAACAGTGCTTTATTTTTCAGGTACAGTAGGTGTATTTAGCAGTATAGCATTCAAGAAACTGAATGAACAAATATATAAATAAAACACTTGTAACAACGTTCGTAGGTCGGGAAGAAGGAGGCGGGAACCGGCGAACATTTGAACAAAACTTTAATAAAATAAACACAAAATAGCGCGACAGCCCCTCGCGAACGACTGTCGCGCACAAACAAACCCAAAACCCAAAATAAAATCCAGGCCTGGTCCTCTCTCGTCCAACACTGTCGTCACTAGGGCTGGGAATCGATTCCAAAAAGAATCGATTCCTCGATTCCGAGGCGTTGGGCATCGAGAGTCGATTCCAATGATTCCAAATTCCATCAAGGGGAATCGACTCCTCAATCAGAGCCTTTTTCAGTTCAACAAAGCTTATCTATGGGTGCCTCTCAAACGGAAGGCTGCACACATTTAAATTCACGAAAAAAAACTGAAAGAAAACGAGTCGGTACTGATCATCTGAATTTTAGGATGCAGCCTTCCGTTTGAGAAGCACCATTCACCTGCTCGCTAAAAGCCGTAATTACGAGTTGTGAGAAAATATTATTTTCATTTTTATATTTTTATTACCATTCGCCTCCCTCATGCTCGCTAAGTTATTAGAAGTCTGATTAGTTTCCGGATTCGGATAGATGGTTTGTGTTTAGTTCACCCACAACTGAGAATTCTGCCAGTGACGGTGTATTTTTTTCCTACTATCAAAGTCAATGGTGACCAGCAACTGTTTGGTTAACTTACCCACATTCTTCAAAATATCATCTTCTGCATTCAGCACAAGAAAGAAATTAATACGTGTTTGGGAGATTAATCAATAGCACAATACTACGATATTTCTTCAAAAGCAGATTGTGGAGACATTTTAATTGTCCATGATAAAAAACACATCCCTACTGTGTGATATCGCACACCCCTACTGTTTTACCCTCCCCCCCACTGTTATGCATTTAAAACTATTAAACAACAAAAAAAAATTGTTAATCTAAAACTGTTAAACTAAAAAAAATAATCTTGCCTTGGCAACTAACAGAAACAAGTTGAAGTACTAAAATTACTAAAACTGAAGCTGAAATAAAAATAAAGCCAAATAGAGAAAAAAAAAATCACAAACATTGCAAAATTACTAAAACCTAAAAAAATTAAATGATTTAAAAAATAATTTAAAATCAAAGTATTAATAAATACTACAATAGTATATAGTACATAACAAATATAGAATCGCAAGATTTTATATTTAATACAACTAGTGCAGCACGCTACTGTCTGTATCCATTAACTCAATAAACAGACATTTCTGAACAGCCATCTTTATCGAGTGATTCTATAATCTGTCAACTAAAAAAGGAGTCATTTGGCTCCTAAACGTTTCCTTCTATGAGCTGATGGCACTCTTGTTATTTTGTTTGTCTGGAGGCCTGAAATTTGAACAAGGAGAAATTCCACTCTTTGTTTTGAACTCTTTGTTGCTGGAAGCAAATATGCTTCAGTTTTTTTCTCAACAGTTGCAGCGCCCGCATGAGAATCTGCTAATGTGCTCAAAGAAAGCATGGACTTTAAATGTGTATTCACGCGAGCGTTCGTGACGAGTGTTCGTGATGAGCTTTCAAAAATACACCGCAGCCCACTTTCAATGGCGTAACATTTGCTGGAGCGCTCCGTTTAAACTGCAGTATGAATCAGCCGCTCGCTTGCCGGGGAGGATGTCCACATTTAGACCAGGCAAACATGAAGAGGCTTCCCTCGCTGTCTCCTCTGATTCAGCACTAAATGAAAGTCTTCCCCACACTGTGACATCACCTGTATAGATTAGCAGCTCGCCTCGGGAAAGTGGGTACTGCTGGAGTCAAAGTAATACTGAAACTGCTTTAAAAAGTCAAAGGAGCTTTCGAGTCACCATTTGCAACGTCTGCCTATGAGGCTATCGGCGCCAGCTGAATTGTTTTTTAACAATAGTGTGAAATTATTATTTTTGCAATAATGTCAGATGCCACTGAAATTACACACTTCAAATTGAAAAGGATATTTCACCCAAAAATGAAAATTACCCCATGATTTACTCAACCTCAAGCCATCCTTGGCGTATATTACTTTCCTCTTTCAGACGAATACAATTGCAGTTATATTAAAAAATGTCCTGGCTCTTCAAAGCTTTATAATCGCAGTGAATGGGTGTTGAGATTTTGAAGTTCAATAAAGTGCATCCATCCATCATAAAAAGTACTCCACGCGGCTCTGGGGTTTTAATAAAGGTATTCTGAAGCGAATTGATGCGATTGTGTAAGAAAAATATCCATATTTAAAACTTCATAAACTGTAATCTCTAGCTTCCGCTAACTGTCGTACACGTGTACCTGAGAGAGTGGCATTCCAGCGGATGAAGTAAGATGGCGTAGCGCAAGCTCCGGTGTATATATTAGTTTTGTGAGAACCATGTTTTGTTTACAGCAAAGGAAAACCAGTCTCCTCTCTGCTTATATCGAAATCCTCCGACATTTTTCTTTACAAATCCTCATTTTGTACTTCTAATTCATGACCGGTGTTTTGTTTTGCTCTCTCCTCTGTGCTTTTGTGATCAATAAAAATTCTGTCACCATTTACTCATTCTCATGTAATTCCAAACCAGTACCTACTTTCTTCTGTAAGTCATAGTGGTTTGTACACAAAAGACGACATTTTGATGAAAGTTTTTTGTCCATACAATATAAGTCAGTGGGGAAAGTCATTGGACCCCACTGATTTTCATTGTATGGACAAAAACAAATTCTTCAAAATATCTAAGAAAGTGACGTGTGTTGATTTGTTTTTGTGACCTTTTATGACCTTTTCCATGTCAAGTCAAGTCACCTTTATTTATATAGCGCTTTTAACAATACAGATTGTGTCAAAGCAACTGAACAGCATTAATTAGGAAAATAGTGTGTCAATAATGCAAAAATGACAATAGTAAACACTAATTTTTCAGTTAAAGGCAGTTCATCATTGAATTCAGCGATGTCATCATCCAGCTCAGTTCAGTTAAAATAGTATCTTTGCAATAATTTGCAATCAAGTCAACGATATCGCCGGAAATGAAGTGTCCCCAACTAAGCAAGCCAGAGGCAACAGCAGCAAGGAACCAAAACTCCCATCGGTGACAGAATGGAGAAAAAACCTTGGGAGAAACAAGGCACAGTGAAGCGTATTAGTGTGTTATGTGTAAGCCAGGTTAAAGAGATTTACATGACTTTACACACGTTCAATGACTTGTCTGAGGCGGAGATGTTATTTTGCTGTGGATGTCTATGGTAACCAGTGCTCAGTTACACTACCCTTCAAAAGTTTGGGGTTGGTAAGACTTTTTTAATGTTTTGAATAGGGCTGTACAATATATCGAAATATCGCAAATGTACATATCGCAATATTTTCTTCAATATCACACAGCCCTAGTTTTGAAAGTCTCTTATGTTCACGAAGGCTGCACTGAAAAAAAAATACAGTAAAAACATAAAAACCGTGAAATATTACAATTTAAAATAACTGTTTTCTGTTTGAATATATTATAAAATGTAATTTATTCCTGTGATGGCAAAGCTAAATCAGCAGCAGCCATTTCTCCAGTCTTTAGTGTCATATGATCCTTCAAATATCATTCTAATATGCTGATTATGCTGCTCAAGAAACATTTCTAATTATTATTAATGTTGAAAACAGTTGTGCTGCTTAATATTTTTGTGGAAACATACATTTTTTTCCCCAGGATTCTTTGATGAAATGAAAATTCAAATGAACAGCATTTATTTGAAACATTTTAAATCTTTTAACATTATAAATGTCTTTATTGCCACTTTTGATTAATTTAATACATCCTGTCTGAATAAAAGTATTCATTTCAATCAATCAATCAATCAATCAATCAATCTTATCATCTTACTGACCCCAAACTTTTGAACGGTATTGTACGTGTGTTGTACAACTAGCCAGTATAATTTATAAAATCACCAGAAGTTTGCTTAAGGACTTCAGAAAGTTTGAGGAAAGCTGTTACTCATTTTGACAGACAATAACTCATGGACACATGTAAAAACGTGATTGCTTCAGGAGATGCAGAGGCAGCTGGCAGTGAAAGTTGCAAACATGACTTCAGGTGATTCATTGGCGATGATCAGCGTCTGGTGGAGCAGGTAGAGTGATGAAGAGAAAGAGCAAGGGATCCCGCCTACCATCAGTACCACAGCGTCACTCAGCGCGGCCTGACTCATACAGAAGTGTAGTA